AAAAAACATAAAATAATCCCGTGCAAAGCACGGGCTAAAAAAAAACTAGTAATTATATATAATATCATAAATCTCAATAGAATGAAAAGAGTCTAGCATTAAATGACATGTAAGACTATAAGGAAAAGTTGTACATAAAAGTTACCTTTTAATCATTTTTCTCCACAAAAATAGAATTAATTTGGATATCTAATCGGGCACCTTGGATATATATAAAATTTGCAATAATTAATATACTTATAGTATTACATAAGATTATAAATTTACAATCATGATGTGTCATTATTTGAATGAATGTTAATATTATAAGTGGGCTCAAATAAAAATAATCAATTATATAATGATATATTATAATTATAAATTTATAATACCACATGTTATTTTCAATATAAAACACAGTGATCACATAACAAACTTGTCAAGTTTGTAATTAAATATGGAAATAATCGATCAGCTATTGTGGATTTTGAAAACTTCAAAGTTGAAAATTAAGTTGTAAAAAAATAGATAACTTATTGATGACTTGGTAGGCCTATTTCTGTTAGAAGGAGTAGATCTCTAGAGGGACTCCAGCCTATAAATAGACCTGCAATCCATGTAAGAAGTCTCACCCCTTATTGCTTAGAAAGATTTAAGATAGCTTGCTAAAAATGAAAGGTGTCCATGTCTTTGTAGCATTTCTCCTCTTGGCTTCGTCCATCTCCTTTGCCTCTGCTTATGACCCTAGTCCCCTGCAGGACTTCTGTGTAGCCATCAATGACACCAAGAATGGTGGTATGTGCTCCCTTATATTCAATTTAGTAACAACTTCTTTTAATTTCATGAATGCACTATATATTTTGCTTGCCATGTAATTGAATGACACATTTTTGGTGCAGTGTTTGTGAATGGAAAGTTCTGTAAGGACCCAAAGCTTGTCATCGCAGACGACTTCTTCTTGTCTGGGTTTGACAAGCCAGGAGACACATCCAATGCAGTTGGATCAAAGGTCACTCCAGCATTTGTTGACCAACTTCTAGGACTTAACACTCTTGGTGTGTCCCTAGTTCGCATTGACTTTGCACCACATGGTGGCCTTAACCCACCCCACACTCATCCTCGTGGAACTGAGATTCTAGTTGTCCAGGAAGGCACGCTATATGTTGGCTTCGTCTCATCCAACCAGGATGATAACCGTCTCTTCACCAAAGTCTTGAACAAGGGAGACATTTTTGTTTTCCCTATTGGTATGATTCACTTCCAACTCAATATAGGAGAAACTCCTGCTGTTGCTTTTTCTGGTTTGAGCAGCCAAAATCCAGGCACGATCACAATTGCAACTTCTGTGTTTGGATCAAAACCACCGATTAATCCTGATGTTCTTACCAAGGCCTTCATGCTGGACAAGGATGTGGTGAAGTACCTCCAGTCCCGTTTCTGGACGAACAATTAGAGAAATACTCAAAAGCCACAAGAATTTAATATAACAGCCGGTCTGGAAAATGTTTACGCTTTACCCTCTGGCAGGGTAAACAATATTATCCAAATAAAAATATAATAAAATTTATACCTTTGCACTTGTCTGTTTTTATATGGTTGTTGGTTTTAGTCATCAACTTTGATCTTTATGAGTGTCTATGTTGAATATTTTGGATAAATTATAATAAAGTCTGTGCTTTTGCTTTCCACGTAACAAGAAAACTCTTTACTAACTTATTCCAAGCAGGATTTAGGGCAGCTTGAGGGAAGAACTTTTTGGGTTCGAAAGCATAAGCTGCACTAAATATTATTATTAGTGAAAAATGCTACAATTTCTTACAAATTAGCCTTTTCTTCATTTCATTGCAAATCTCAAAAAAACTGAATTAATCTTTTTGCAAGAGCTTTTCATTTGAATTTTAATAAAATTAACAAATTATTCCTATTTTATCTTTATTTTTTTTTTATTTATAAAAACAATACTTCTACAACAGTTTATTTCCAACAGCACTTTTATTAGAACCTCCAGTCACGCCAAACGAGCGCTTAGTCTATTATAGAGATTTGGGAGAAATGAAATTTTTGGCTCTCGTAGAAGGTAAAAAATTATATCAATTGAATACATTGCCGAACGAAATGACTGTCTTCTGTTTTCTGCCCCAAGTCCATGAATGTTAGTTGATTTCCAAGGAAATCTACTATATAGGCTTCATAAATGCAGGGAATTGTCCAATTCTTTTGTTGTTGAAATATGCATTAGGCGATAGATCTGTTCACTTAATAAAGCCACTGCAATTTAGCTTATAGCCTTTGGACAGCGTGTTTTAAATGGTGGGGATTAAGAACTGTGCTAGATAGAGACTGTTGCAGGGTGTTTGAACAGCATTCAAACCTTCTAAAAATAATGGGGGAGAAGAAGGGTTGGGACTGCATTTGGTTCACTATAGTAAGGACAATTTGATTAGCAAGAAACAAGAAATTATTTAGAGGAAAGGAGGCAGATAAAGGAAGGCTTCTGATTAGAATATTGAAAGCTCCCTTATTGAACTTTTAACACTCCCCACTCAAGGTGGAGCATATATATATTTTGGCATCAACAGCTAGGTGTTTTCAAGCCAGCTTTGGGCACCTTAAAACTAATTTATCTTTGCGCATTTTATGGGCACACTTTCATATTGGTGTAGGGTATTTAATGAAATTAATTTTTTTAGATGTTAATTCCAAAACTTGAACCCAAATTTAGACTACATGATGACAGTTACTGGATCCAAACCTTAGAGCATATAACTTTTGAGTAATATACCTGAATCTAGAATTAGTCAGTTGCTTTGTGAACAAGTTAGCAATATAGCTGACTCTAGAACCAGTCAATGGCTTTGTGAACAAGTAAGCAAGTTGGTCATAGACTTGGTAACTGTCACATTCAGAGCAAGCTAACAATGGCTTTAATGCATATTTTATTAACAGCTAATTCATAACAAGCGGCGGTTCGCGAAGGCCAGTCATATAATTTTAGAACCAAATTTCCTTTTCACTTGTCAACTCTTGAGCAACATCGGCCATTTAGGTACAAATTTGTCCTAAATTTTGCTACCTTTTAACATAATTAATCCAAGCTTAGGTTTTAGTCATGGAAAAATGATTGATACACTTAATTTAATACATTTTTTTACATTCATCCTGTTCGCTATTAAAATATAAAATAATTATAATTTGATTTAGCCAAATTCTATATCTTGTATATATGGTTGTATCTTTAAATTTATTTTTTTAAAATTTTAAACTTAAAAATAATACTTTTTTAGTGAATATGTTGTACAATATGTAAAACCAGGTGTTTATCAATCAGTCTCCTTCAACCATAACACTTACTAGTATTATTTTCAATTTGGTTATCTCTTAGGCTAAAACTTACTTTTAGTCCTTTACCTTAATAAATTTATAGGTTTTAACTTCTCACCTTATATTATGATACTTTTAACTCTTTATCTTAATAAGTTTGTAGGTTTTAATCATTCACTTTATATTATGATACTTTTAGCACTTGGGTTCATCATGAACCCACAAGCTGGGTTCATTGCGAACGCAGGCTCCTGGGTTCGTCTTGAACCTAGGAACCCATGACAAACCCAAGCACCTGGGTTCGTCGCAAACCCAGGAACCCACGAGTTAGGTTCACCTGGAGGTAAAAGAAAAGAAAAAAAAAAAAGGGAGAAAGGAAAGGATGGGGGAAGAAGATTCCTGGGTTTACGATGAACCCAGGCTCTTAGGTTCGAGACATGGGTTTCTTGTGTATGTTGTAAAGAGAAAAGAAATGGTGGGACAAGTTGTTGAAGTAGGAAAGGAAGCCTCTAGTGTTCCTGAAGAGGATGAGAATAGTGTTCACCATTGATTGTATATATTATGTTTTTTTGTTTCTTCTTTAAGTTGTATGTTCTAAAGAACACAAAAAAGAGATGGTGGGACAGGTTGTTGAAGCAGGAAAAGAAGTCTCCTGTGTTCCTGAAGAGGATGAGAATGGTATTCACAATTGATTGTATATATTATGTGTGTTTGTTTGCTCTTTAAGCTATTGATTGTATCTCATAAGCCAACAAAACCTATTCAGCTTCTTTCCAGGAAGAAATTGTTAGAAACAATTAATTAACCAAGTCATGGTGTTCAATTGATTACAGAATCATCCAACCAAATCACTCCATTTTTTTGTACTTACCTCTTAAACAAGGGTAAGTATGGAAGGAGCTCGTGGGTTCACGACGAACCCAGCTCCTGGGTTTGCTTGGAGGTAAAAAAAAAAAAAAGAAAGGCTAGAGGAAGGAGAAGATGGGGAAGAAGATGGGGGTAAGTATGGCAGGAGCTCATGGGTTCACAATGAACCCAAGCGCTTGGGTTCGCGATGAACCCGGCTTTTAGGTTCACTTGGAGGTAAAAAAAGAAAGGCAGAAGGAAGGAGAAGATGGGGGTAAATAAGTAATGAAAGGTAAAAAAAAGTTAGCCATGTCATCAACTCTTGTGAAATGGATTTTTCACGTAATTTAAGTAAAAAAATAAATAAATTTTTTCGTTAATTAACCTGTCACATCAGTCAAAATTTAACGGAAGGACTAAAAATGAACTAGATTTTAAAATTTAAGGATCAAAAAGGGGATTTTTTCAATATAAGGATCAAAAAAGGGCTTTTTCTTATAATAGAGGGACCAAAAAGGTATTTAACCGAGTTTATATTAACAAAATATATAATATTAATAAAATCTAACAATCTTATAGTAAAGTCGAAAAAATTACAATATAATATTTTGCAAAGAAATAGCATATATATACCTTTATCTAAACTAGAATTTCTATAATTAATTATAAGCTCAAAAAAAATTGATTCTTATTAATTTTGTCACGCTCCAAAACCCAAATTCGAGGCGCGACAGACGCCGTGCACTCGTGAGACGGGTCCCACAAATGCACAAGGCTGAAACTTATCAAATTCACACTCTGATACCATCAAAATCTGAAGATCAAATTATAAAATCTCTCTAATATCATAAATCTCCAATAAAATCTCCAAATACAAGATCATGATTCATATCTAAAATTTATATCCAATTACAATATGGCTAGCCTTCTAACTTGTCACTTCCCGTGGTTTCCCCGTCCTCGGTTTCACTTTCTGAAATGGTGAACAAGGAAAAACTATGAGATAAACTCAGTAAGTAAATATGGATTGCCCTTAATTAAACTTATAGCATGCCAACATGTGCAATCACGCAAAACGGATACAGTACAAGAACGAAATAGACATCTCCTCTATAGGTCACGACCAGCGTCTAACACCCACTGGCAGGCGCACTGTTTGCTGGTGTATAACCCCCACTAGCTGGGTTGAATGAACCGGCTCTATCACTACATGTCGACATGTGCTAGCGTTTATAACCTCCCCCACTAGCAGGGTCACGAATAACATGACCACATCGGAGACAAAACAGGCAGAAGTTAACAGAAAAATCATAATTCACTATCACTTTCAAATCGTCAGGACAATTCACAATCACTTTCAAGTAGGCATGCTCAATTTAATGAAAAACATAAACATTTCACTTCAAATCAGTCATGCTCGTGTAAAACGGGTTTAGTCCCGCCACCACTTCAAAAACAAAACAAAACATGCTTTTAAAAACTATACGGGCATTACCATAAATTTACTTACCTCACTCCGCAAAACCGAGCACTCAATTCACGTACTAAACTGACAGAACGATCGAGAACCTAATCAAAATACCTCAAAATTAATACCGGACTATCACAAATTCACACTGAACACTTCATTAGAATCATTCCTAATCACAATGCTATTTCCATAAATCTCCACATGATCAAATATCTCCAAATTTGTTCTTATATCACAAACTAATCACTTAAATCCCCGTTAATTGTTGACTCTCGGGGTGTGAACAGTGCTCGTGAACAGTACCCGTGAACAGTACCCCCGACATGAACAGTAACTGCACTTCCAAAAGTTGGCCAAAACACTAGCTAATTCACGGGATTTTCTCCAAAAATCTCACAATAATCAATTAACACTCAATCACATAAATCCCACTTAAATTAAGCTAAATCATGGTCCTAAAGCTATCAAATTCTTCCCCATTTTTCTAGCAAAATTCGGACATACACAGCCAGCAAACTAAATGGACAATTTCAGCCTTAAAAGGCTGTCACATACCATAATTCTCCAGCTGTAGAAACCGGAGCTACAGGGGGGAAGAGGCCGGCGGCAAGCTGCAGGGAAGCTCACGAGTCTACCCAAAATTGAAGGAAATAAGAGCAATTAAGGTAAACCCAAGGTAATTCAAGTGAGAAAAGAGGATTTAGGGGCTGTTTCTTACCAAAAAATCAAAGCAATTCACCCCCACAACAAGAGCAGCCGGCGGACAGAGCAAAGCAGATCCGGATTTTCTAGCAGGGGGAAGAATTCTGGGTTCCAAATCAGGTTCTAGAACAAGAAAGGAAGGGGAAAATACCAAACTTCCTTACCAATTTTCCAAGGCATGGCTGGGTTCTCTTTTTTTTTTCTTCCGGGTGGCCGCAGCGGGAAGAAAGGAGAAGAAGAGCAGAAGAGCAGAAGAGCAGAATCGGGCAAGGCTGGGAAGAAAAGAAAGAAAAAAAAAGAAAAAGAAAAGAAGTTGATCCTTATCCAATATTTTCCCCCTTTTAAGTCCCTCAGCTTTCAGAGGATTTACATTAGGACCCAAAACAATCTTTTCTCACAATCAAGTCCCTAACTTAATGTTAAAAATTCTAGAAATTTTGGGGTATCACAAATTTTAAAACCAAAAATTTTACAAGAGAATCAATAAAAAAAAAACTAAAAAAACCAAAAAATAATTCAACAAAA